CGTATTGTTTGAACTATCGTATGTTTAACCATTCCAGTTCTCAATGTCATCATCTACACCTAGCCTCAGACCAAAGAAGCAAAGTGTTCTACCAGAGGCATAGATTCTCCCTCCTCCTGATATGTTCCAAGTTATCGACAGTATTGATCATCAAAAAGATACCCCTGAAGATGTCACTATCCATATGTCAATCATTCAAGCTCCACACAATGTTATAGTTTCCCCATCTTTGGAACCTCCTTTCGTGGGGGCGGGAGACACATTTCAAATTTCACATGCCCTAGAACCTATCACTGATGATACGGGTGACAATATTGCTACTGCTTCTCTACCGCTTCATCAGGGCGAACAAGTTGTTATGTTACTCAAGCACACGAGGTCCATGATGTGCAACAACCTACATTTGTCTGACCAATTTTGGACTAATCCACCGATCAGATGAGTCAATCCTCGGATGAGAAATGACAGGTTTACGCATCTAGAAGGAAGAAGAAGAATAGAGACCTATTTGAGCTCAGGAATCTGATGGATGATATTTTGGTTACTTCGGGTAATGGTACGCACCTCATCAATTTGCTAGCCGGCACCCTTCCGAGAACTCGAGTCGGAGGCAGGACTAAACTGAGTCATCCCTAGCTTTTTGCGCGCATTGATAGTTTTTGATTTTTTAGATCTTATATGTTTCTTTTCTTTTTTGGGTTTTCGTGTGTGTTATATCGTGTGGGTTGTTGCATTCTTTTAGGACCACACATACAACTTATTTGTACATTTTCCTCTTTAATATAATTGCTCTAGGGCTTTTTCAATACATATATATAGTTCATCAATAAATTAGGTCTTTTGGTTGACTAAGTGATGCAGACATAATTTTTTTCTATATTTTGTCCCATACATTCAAGATATTTTATGTTTTTTAGATTAAATTTTATTATTTAATCTGAATTATTTGTCTGCATTAACCTTGCTAACAACTTTGCATTTAGAAAATTTTTTAGCAGTTTGTTGGCATTTTATTAGCTATTTGTAATAGTTATATTTCTTCTGTTTATTAGGAAATTTTGAGTCATATAAGTTAGTTTATGGGATGACGAAAATTCTTATTTTAGATGTAAAGATTGTTGTTTTTCTTTAATTATTATGGGATTTTAATCTTTATTTGAGTGTGAGATTTGAAGTATCCCAACAGGGGTTATCTCCTTATACATTAGGCATATTTTTCATGGTTTTTTCTTTCTTTTTCTCATGCTCCTGCTACTTTTTCATTATTATTGTAAGTGAGATGGTGTAGATCAAATTCATTACAAATTGGAGTTTTATAGATTGTGTGAAGTTTCATATTTGTGGATGGATGTTATTATCTTTAATTCTAGTCACTAGTTTCTTGTTTAAGGTTAATATATATATATATATATATATATATATAGGTGTGTGATGATAATATATATATATATATATATATATATAGATATAGATATAGATATAGAATCAAATTAGTTGAAGTCTTTTCCAGATAAAAAATTTTACATAGTTATTGCATTCTTGTCATAATTCTTGTTCTATTCTTCTTATGAGTATTGGACTTTACATTTTCTTATTTAGATTTGATATCATAACCTAAGATTGTGATAACGGAGTTAACCCAAATCATGACTAGACGACGAAATATTTTATTGTCAAATTCAAAATGTTACAACGATAACGCTCAACATTAAATAACACCAACAAGCAAGCTATCAGATGGAAAGGATGACTACTTGAGTAAGACTAAGCAACCTGAAATAAAATGGTAGAAAACGCATAAACACCTCTCTCAACTGGAGGACGGCTGACCCGGTTGGAAAGGAATGGACATGGTAGTACCGGAGGAAACCAGAGTGGTGTCTTGCTGCTAGCAAGGTGCCCGGCAGCGGGTCTGGAGTGAGTAGAGAGCAGTGGTGGCTGGCTAGAAGCTTGCTGGAAGCTGGTCGACGACGCTGGAGTGATGTGGGATGTTTGGCAGCCATCTTGGAATAGGTTAAAGAAGGTGCAGCTTGCTGGAAGGGAGCAGGGGAGTCGGGCAGCACTCCTAGGAGGAGTTGGAAGTGGTATGGTCTGTTGGCAGGGAGCCTGGAGGCAATCCTGGAAGGAGCTGGAGGGGGTGCGGCCTGCTGGCAGGGAGCAAGGGAGTTTGCCGACAATCTGGAAGCTTGCTGAGGATGGTGCGACCTACTGGAGGAGGACCAGGGAACATCTTGTGGCTACGAGGAGAGGGGTCGGTGGGCTGTGGAAGGGAACTGCTAGGATAAATATTTCTGCGGGGTCAAGCTACAGTCGGAGCGCCGCACGGATCTTTTGAGACAGTCACCACCTTGGGTGAGTTACTATCGGAGCACCTCCTCACCGTCGGATACAGCCAAACGCTTCAAATGCAACAACTTAAATCTAGAATCAACAAAAACTGGTTACCCTAGGCAAACACTACGTATATATAATGATCTTAGCAGTAAGAATACGAAGGGATTGAAATTTGGAAAGGAATAGAATTGTAAGGTGGTAGATAAGGTAGGCAATGGAATAGGAAGGAGAACTCTCTATGGAAAGAAGTGTAATAGGAAATGAGAGGGGGAAGAAGGAATTGGAAAGGCAAGGAATAAATTTGGAAGAAGAGAATTTGATAGGAAATCTGGAAAGGAAGGTGCACTAACTTCCGCCCCATATATAGTCTGGTTGGCCGATCCAGCAGGGAGGTTGGACCGGTTTCTTTCTGCACCACCCGGCCAAGGCACTATGCGTGTCAAGTTGTCTTTGTCTTCTATACTTTGAATGTGTGATTAAGATTAATTAACATAACAACAAAAATATTCAATTCAAACAAGATCAACTTAAAATGATTCTAAATGATTTAGAACCAAAATCTGGAGGTACGTATTGTATTACTACTACATGTTTGATTTTTTGGTTATATTGGATTGAATAGATCAAAAAGTTTTTGAGAGAGATACAATTTCTACTATCCAATAAGTTGAATTTTCTAAAAAAACTTAACATGATATGCCAATGAGCAAAACCTATGAGGATAAGATGAATATAAAACAAAAATTATATATATTTGCAATGCTTTTATAGAGATAAGTTGTATGATCGATTTAAATTCTTTAAAGAAGTTGATTAAATATGTTCAATTATTTTCTTAAGTTTAAACACTTTGCAGTAAAAAATAGTGGCCTGAAGTATATTGTGTTATCAATATGTACTTCATTGAAGTCATTTAACAATAAATTAAGAATGGTTTGAGATATTATTCTTCAAAAATAATAGACAAGGTCTACTACATTAGTTTTAGAGTTTAAGAAGTTATTACAATTATCATTCTGATGGAACTAATGCACCTTTATGTTTTATTCTCAAGGAATTATCTTCATCTCACTTACGACGTTTTTAAACCACACCATTGCTATTATCATGAATGATCAAATTTGATTCTATTAAGGAAACACCAATTCATAAATATTCTTAAAATGACGGATTCGATGATTTTTTTTTTTTTGTTATAAAATGATCTTATATTTGAATGTAATCTAAATTAATATATAAATATATCCTCAAAAATTGAATGAAATATTTATACTAAAGTTAATAAATCAATTAAATCTAATAATAGAGTTCTTGATGAATTATTTATCGAAGTCATGCCTTCATCTATTAATCAAATTAATATTCATTTTATTTTTGGTTCTTTATTTTTAGTTTATTAATTTATAAAATAACCTTATTTGGAAAAACAGTATGTATAAATTTAGTCATAAATTTATTAATGACCACTTCCTGTTAGGAAAAAATTCAAAAGTAAAAACTCCATATATCTTGTTGAATTCAAGAGTGCATGTCACTCATGATTATTCTTTAGGTTGCTTAGATTAGTATTGTTAAAGAGGTTGTTTGTTTATATGATATTCTCATCTTATATGAATAAGGCTTATATCTATAGTTTGTAATTCATTAAATAGAAAGCTCAAATTTTTTTCATACTTTACTTTTGGCTATTTATTTCCTATCCATTATCAACTATATAAGAATTACTTTGTTACTCTTACCTTTATTGTTAAGAGACAATATTTAAGATTGATTAATCTAAAGAGTGCTAAGGTACAAGATAATAATCCTAATCCTATACCACTCACTTTATATAGAGTTTATGAAAAATTCTTACACTGGTAGTTAGAACGGATAATATCTCGATATTACTATATGATAAAAGAATATATATAGAATATATATATATAGGTTAAATAATCGGCGTATTGAGAAGAAAGGATTCCATGAATGAAGAAGAAGAGAATATATATTGATTAAAAGAATAGAGTGTCAATATGATAAAAAAATATATGTAGAATATATATTGATTATTCAATCACTTTATGTAGAGTCAATGGATGAGGAAGAAAGAGAGAGCAACTTAAAGTAACTTCGATAATAGTCAAAATAATTTTGGGAAAAAATTTTTTATGCTTTTGGCAAGACTTTGCTAGAAACAAATAAAAACAATGATGATTCTTGAAAGTTGAAAATTTAGCTCAAAACTTCTGGATTGAATGTGTTTTTGAGCCAAGATTGGATCACCTCAAGACTGAATCATTTCACATTCCAAGGATTCATAAATTCGAGGAAAATTGTCATACAAACCACTTAATTCCTATGTATTTACATATCTAACACTTAAACTCGGTTTTTTACGTATATGTCCCCTTATCTATGAGTGAGGTATATTTCGTTTTTTTAAAGTAAAAAATGTGATATTTTTATGTGATATGAAAGAGTTGGGCTCTATAAATGTAAGAACTAGAATTTACATGTTAGATATATAAATACATGGGAATTGGGTGTTATGTATGTAAATGCCCCTAGATCCAATCCCAACTACTTATAATATTTCTAATGATGGTGCTGATACGATGATAATCCCGAAGTAACTCCAGCGAAGCTTCCTCCTTTCGATCCCTTCCAACCGTTTCTTTTTGCAGGTGCTCGAGCTATCTGAGCCGACTCACTCCGAGGTGCAAGAGATCATCAACTCGGTAGCGCACGGTCTTCTCGCGACTCTTTCTCCCAAGATTCACTCCAAGCCTCCACCTCAATCTGATAATGTTCCAGGTGGTTCTTCATGCTTAGAAAAGGATGACTGTGCAGAACTGTTAGAAAATACCTCCATTCATTTTCAACCCCTTATTACTGTCCCGCGTGATTACCTTGCCCGCTTACTATTCTGGTATTATTCTTTGCTCCTTACCTTCAATATATTGTTTGAATTTGTGCTTACTACAAGTTTAAGTTACAGAAATACCACACAATTCTTATGTATTTACATAGCTTACACCCAGATTTGATATTTATATTAATGATGATTTATATATATACCACTCAATGCCCTATGTATTTACATATCTAACACCTAAAGTTCAATTTTTATACATGCCACCTTAACCATGCATGAAAAACAGAAAAATAAGTGTATTTCACATCCTAAAAATTAAACTAGTGGTATTTTTTATGTGATATGAAAGAACTGGACAGTATAAATGAAAAAAAAGGGAAATTTTATGTATTAAATATGTAAATATAAAGGAATTGGGTGGAATGAATGTAAATACACATTATATTTATAACACTGAGTCATAAACCTTTGCATGAAGAAGTATAGTGTTTCATTTTTTGAAATTTTAAGAACAGTGGTATTGTTAATGTGATGTTAGAGATTGGAGTGCTGTACATGTGAATATGAAAGTTTGGGTGTTAGATATGTAAATACATGAAATTATGTGGTATAAATATGATTGAACCTCTTTCTTTACAACTCTTTTCAGGTGCCTGTTATTGGGTCATTATCTCAGGGGTCTCGAGCATCGCCTTGAGTTAACTCAGCTTTTAACAATTGCTGGTGATGCCTAAACTATTTTCTATAATAATAATTAGAAACAATCTACCTTTGAAAATAGGTGTAATATATTGGTTATGGATGCAATATTTATTTTGTTGTAGGAGTTTTCTTTCTAAAATCATTTGTAAAGTGTTGTTGAGCCTCACTTCCTATGCTGTAAATTGTATGGAACTATTTGATGTAGATTTGACTCATGAGTTTGTATTTGGAGATTTGGTGCAGCTTGTGTGTTTCCCGCGGGTGACCGTGGGGTTTAGTGTAAAAATAGAACCGCGTTTTTGGACAAACGTGATTTGGGTCTGCGTTTAGTGTAAAAATAGAATCGTGTTTTCGGATAAACGGGCAAAACGCGCGATCCAAACGATACCGCAGCGTTTTCAAAAACGCCCCTACACTTATAAGCTGCCCCAAACGGGCCCAAGTTTATGAAATGCTAGATGCGATTGATAGAAGGAAAATTTACATACTTATCAAACAATTCTCATATATTTACATTTCTAATATCAAAAGAGTAAAGTGACAAAATAGTATCTAATTAATTATATGAGGTTGTTTTAGTCCTGGAGTTTATAGATGTGTTAAAATAATCCATAATTATTTTAAATTTGAGCCCTAATAGCCCTCCACAAGGATCATTTAAGCTCCGATTTAAAGAGTTTTGAGTACTATTTTGACATTTTTATAAACTTTTGGACTAAAATGACCTAATATAAATAGTCGGGACTATTTCAACACTTTACTCAATATCAAAACTTTAATATCAAATTTATAAGAGTCTGGTATTGTTATAATGGAGAGATGTATTTTGTTTTAAAAAAAGTAATTAATATAGACATTTTTTATGTGATATTAAAGATATGTGGTATGGATTTAAATATGCAAATCTAGGTATTGGATATATAAATACATAAGAATTGTTTGATATTTATGTAAATACATGGTGGTCCGGTAAAAAATTAATTTGAACGAGTCTTAGTGCCCGTTTGGGGCAGCTTATTTAGGTGAGACGGCTGGTGTTTGTTTAAAGCGATCGGCCCAGCGTTTTTAAAACGACGATAATCGCGTAATTAATTTCCTTCTACACATCACACGCGAGGCTCCTCTTGCGTTTGACGTTTGTTAGGGTTCTAATTCCTCCTGTGCCCCTGCGATATCTCTCTCGCGCTCTCCCTCGCCATCTCCTTTCTCGATATTCTCCTTCGTAAACATCGATTCTTCGGGTGAGATCTATATGCTGCAATGTTTTCTGGTTGGTTTTTTACTGGTTCGATCTTCTCTGGTTGGTTTTATGTCGTTCGATTCGATTATCTTTACTTTTTTTTGCAAAAATTGGTTTTTTTTAGGGTTGTCTTTATGATGTTTTGTTGGATTATTTGGGAATGCGTTGATGGAAATGGATCTTAGGTTTTTCTTGAGTTTTTTCTGTGATTTTTTTTAGGGTTTTCTTGAGAAAGGCAAATGAGTAATGGGGGAAACTTTGGTTCGAAATGAAATTTTGGTTCGCTATGTGGGAAACTTTGTTCTTCCCGTTCCCGTTCCTTTATGCAAAATTTTGTTTCGAAAAGTGAGAACTCAGCTAGTTTGATTTGTTGTTGTCCGAACTGTTGGAATATGTTTTAATGCGTCCCTTTTATATTGTTCTTCAAGGAACGTGCTTCAATGAATGTGTTTCAAAACATTCTCTGTTATATTGTTCTCAATTACTTCTTAGCATTCCCTGTTATACTGTTGGAATTGTTTGATAAGCCTTTTATGTTGTACTTCGATGGAATTCCCTGTTACAAAAAGTGGGAACTCAGCAGTTCGAATTGCTGGAATTTTTTAGCTCCACCTGTTATATTGTTTAGCTCCACATGTATATTGTGTTTGATTGCAATGTTGCTCAATTATGGGGTTTAGGTGCACCTGTTTAGCTGCACCTGTTATATAGAATGTTGTTCCTGTTATAACTTGGAATTGTTTAGCTGCACATGTTATATATAAAGTTGCTCAGTTATGGGGTTTAGGGGCATTTGTTTGTATGTGCAAGTACTGATCCTCTCTTTAGAGGCTTTTAGGGGCATTAGTTAGATGAACAGGTGCAACTAAACAATGAATTTCATCGGGTCTCTTTAGGGGCATTTGTTTAAAGTTGCACCTGTTATATAGAATGTTGCTCCTTCAATGTCGAGGCTAGAGAGGAGATACAATGCTAATATGTTATATTGGTCTTTAAAGATTTGGTTATTATATTTTGGCATTTCCTATTAAAGGAGATACAATGCTCATATGTGAAAGTTTATGTCTTTTGACATTTTTCGGCATTTCCTACTATTTCTGATAAAAATATGCAATGCTTATATTTTAGAGCTTCTATGGAAGCTGCTTCCATTCAAATTGGGTTCCACGACATATATGAAAAGTTTTATATCAAATTTGATGTGTATATATTGCTTTATTTTTACACTATTTGTATCAAATATAAAATGTCTATCGAGAAGCATTGTTATGTATATGAAAAGCATAACTATGTAACCTTACACAATTTCATAATAAAACATATTCGATGTCTTACTGTGGATGTAGGTCTTTGACCGAACCACATAATTCATTTGTGTCATTATTTTATTATTTTTTCTTCTGTGAGCGAAGTTTTTATTTTTCTTCTGTGAGGTTTACCTATTACTTCAGTTGGATCTGTTGTGGATGTATGCTCAATTTGTGGATGTAGGTTAAATTTTTTAAATATATATATGTGTTTCTTCTCTTGTTGGTGCATTTCGCTAATTTTTTTTATGCATGTTTAGTTACAAAATGAATTTCTTTACACAATATGTAATTCTTCATATAGTACCACAATGTCTAAGACAAGTGAAGGTGATCCCTCAGCGATGTGGGATAAGGAGGTTACAATTATTTTTTGCAACCTCTGCATTATCGAGATTGAGATCGGGAATAGACTAACCACCTATTTCAACAAGGAATGTTCGCAAAACATATCTAAAAGGTTTAAAGAACTGACTGGAAGGGATTATGACAGACTGAAGTTTAAAAATAAAACTGATGACAGACTGAAGTTTAAAAATAAATGAGATCAATTGAAAAAGGAGTGAAAAATTTGGAATGAGCTGAAACGTGGATCCACGGGGTTGGGCTAGGATTTAATCAAACAGACAATTGATGCTCCTGAGGAATGGTGGGCCGAGAAATTAGAGGTAAAATTGTTATTATTTTTTTGTTACTTACAAATATTTTCATTTTAAACAATTATCCTCCTCAATCCTAAATCCTTATTTTAATGTTACAGGCAATGTTGAAAATAAAAAAATACAAGCAGAGCGGGATTGACCCTGATCTTGAAGATAAAATTGACATTATGTTCAAGGGGGTAGTGGCAACGGGAAAGCAAGCATTTAGCCTGTGTGAAACATGTTTGCAGGAATACCCGATGATTTTCCACCATAGTCGGTAGAAGTTGACGAAGAAATACACAGCGCTAACCAAAGGGAGATGGGGGAATTAAGCTCACAGATGAAGAGACCAAGGCTAGGAAAAAGAAAGAAACAAAATGATACTTTTGTCAAAATAAACTTTATTTGACAGACTCATAGATGCTTTTGGAGCTCCATCGCCTGCTCCATTTCCTAACAGCACAATCTTTGATTGTCTTCAAACTTTGTCTACCATCCCTGAAGTTGTAGCGGATAAACGCTTTCATGCAATATGTATGAAAAAACTCGAGGATCCAACACGTAAGCACATATTTATGACGATGGAACCTGAGTTGCGAGTTGAATATTTACGTGTTATTGTAAATGATTGAGTTCTTAGAATTGTGTTGTGTAATCTACAAAGTTATGAACTCATCTGTTATTTGGAGCTGTGTTTATTTTTTAAAATATACTTTTAATTGATTCTTGAATGCATGTTAGCAGAGCTTTTATTTAATTTAAAATATACTTTAACTAGCTGAGTGTTCTCATTATTTATTTATTTCGTTGTATTGGTTAATAATTGATGAAATAACTGAGATCTTTCTTTCTTTAGGATGAATCCACAACATGAACGTCATAAGAGAATGACATGGGCTACAACTATTGTCATATTATTATTGAAGTATTACCGATCAAGCAATGCTCGTATACCCCGAATGACCTCCAGTTTTGTTGGGGATAAATGGGTCGGCTAAATGCTTTCTGGACATCCTATTAGGTTTAGTAACATATTTCGAATAATAGTACTGATCTTTATGGATCTCTTGCACGAGTTATCCCTCAATCCCAGACTCAAAGGTTCCTCGAGAACGACGAGAAGGGAGGTATTGGCTATAACACTATATATTCTGTCATAAAATGAATCAATTAGGGGTTCTATTATCAATTAGGGGCTCTATTGAGAGATTTCAGCATTCATCAGAGACAATAAGTCGCTCTTTTTCCAAAAGGCATATAGGCATTTGTTAGCTTATCCTCTAAAATTATCAGGCCAGAGGATCCATCATTTGCTAATACTCCATGACAAATCACAGTCGATCCCCGTTACATGTCGTACTTTAAGGTAACCATTCTTTTATATACTTTCATAACAACATATAAATATTTTCTAACATTGTAAAACAGAACTGCATATGTGCAATTGACGGTACTCACATTGATGTCGGAATACCCAGCCAGGACAAGGTGGCTTACATTGGTCGAAGTGGTTCGACTACTCAAAATGTCATGGCGGTATGTGACTTCAACATGTGTTTCACATATGTTATGGCGGGCTGGGAAGGGAGTGCCCATGATAGTCAAATTTTCGCTTATGCTACGAGAAATAGATCGCAGGGATACCCTATACACGATAGTCAAATTTTCGCTCCGCCTCCAGGTATGTATTGAAGTTTAAAATTCCAAGTTATAGGTATTTATTGCAAATAACAATAACTTCCATAAAAGGAAAATACTATTTGGTTGATGCTGGATACCTATGTAGAGGGGCTATCTCAAACCATATCCAGACACTAGGTATCATATTCCTGATTTTGAGCGAGCAAGTGACACTATTCATGGTAGGAAATAAATGTTTAACAAATGTCACTTCTCTTTACGTGGGGTAATTGAAAGAATGTTTAGTGTGTGAAAGAAGAAATGAGTCATCCTACGTGATATGCTGTCATATTCATTTCAGAAGCAGGTGCATATTGTGGTGGCAATAATGACACTTCATAACTTTATACGACGACACCCTTTACGTTTAGATACAGACTTTAGTATGAATGATAACGAAGAGCTGACAGTCTATGAAGAACCATCAGAAATCATGATTGGGCCTTCAATTCCTGAGGATGAGAATGAATTTAATGAGTTTGTAGTTCATGACGCGGAGGGTGTGGCTGAGATGACTTCTTTGAGGGAGTCTATAGCAGATGTTATATATGACAGCTAATCCAACAAGTCCTTTTCTTCGTATATATGTAGATTAATTTTTATGTGTATTTTATTTTGTTGGGGTAAGTACTGACACTCTTTTTTTTTTGTTTTTTTTTGCAGTTATACAAACATGACTTCTAGGATATCAGTTACAGACAGAGGTATTTTGTGTTATTGTGGACGTCAGTCTCATAGCTTTGGGAGGCAGTTCTACGGTTGTGCCAAGGGTGTTTCTGCTCGTTGTGGCTTCTTCTGGTGGGCTGACAGTCCCACATATTACACTGTCAGCAGTCATGGGAATCTGATGTTTTCCCAGGTTGATAGTGCAGATGAGGACAGAAGTAGCCAGAGTTTGAAATTAAATATTTTAATATTTCTAATTGTAGTTGTACTTGTCTTTGTACTTTTTTTACTTCTTCTGGTACTCACGAGAGTGTGAGGACTATATCTCATCTTTTGGAACTGATCCGTGATGATTGTATGCTTCTGCACTATATGCTTCTGTACTACCAATACTATTCTGAATAAGCTGCCACAAACAGTTTTATCAGACATAGGCAAGAAATTAAACCACCAATAAGCTAATCTGAATAAGTTGCCCTAAACAGCAAGCCAGATAATTCTGATAATTTGCAGATTATCAGATTATCAGAATAATTTGCTTATCAGCAGATTATAAATAATTAACAGTTGTTCCAAACAGACCCTTAATTTTATTTGAAATGACTGCAATTTAAAGAGTAATATGTTAGTGCATAACATGCATGTGTGGTGAATGGATGTATATATATATATAAAA